TTCGGTCGCAAGAAGAGAAGCAGAATATGCTGGGACGGTACCTCCCCAACGTGGATGACCTTGTCGAGGACCTCCAAGAGACCGCGCCGTTCAACAGCGTCGCGTGCTGAGAGTCCCATCAGCACCATCAGTCATCACCGTTGATGAAAACACAACTTTCCTTTGTCTGCCAATTTGGTCTGTCCATATACTGTTACCACTATACCTTCCCTTACCGTTTTGTTCTGTTCAGCGAGGCGTCAAGGAAACTCGGGATTACTGTAACCATGCGTCTCCTACCCCACAGCTAACGCTGGTCTCCTTTCGTGTTTGGCATTTTTGCAAATTGGAAAGACTCGTCGCTTCATTGCGTATCGCAGCCGATACATTCGCTGTACATCATGTTCATCATGCATCGCATGGTACTCGGGCGTCTATGGAAGGCCACTGTTTATCGCAGAGTGGTCGTTAAGACGGACTACCCTCCAGTCCGACTCTCATTAAATTAAATAATATCAGAATGTTACATCTGACTTAGTATGTTCCACGTCTAGCGTTGCGTTGAGCCATTGTGGGTTGCGATCAGTGGGGTGCGCACCTTGCTTACATGCATTTCAGTGCGGTATGCTAATGCACGATATTCCCAAGTTCGTGCGGCTTGTGTAACACAAGGACAGGAGCAGTAAATGCTAATGCTATGTTTAGTCTTTCAGGTTTACGCTACAACTACCTAGGAAGCTGACAAAGAGAGCGCATTGTTCCCAGCTCCTGTACAAATTACTCGTACGACTGACCTTCCTCAAACAAGGCATCTAGCGATGAGTAAGCAATATCGTCAGCCTCGATATGCAGAGTGCGACAAGCCGGAGATAATCGCAAAGAGAGAGTTTTCATGTTAAGACCACTGCCATGTGCCTATCGTACAATACGAACGAACAACTTCGTCGATTTTGGAAAGTTACACCACATGAGCTTTTAGAAGAGTCCCAATAATTCCTGCTTCCTGCTTGCCCGAACGAGATAATCGTGGGATGATCTCGTATTGCTAATGTATGCTTCTGCACTGCAGATGAGATCCCAAAGATCGCAATATCTCCGCGAATCGGTATATAAGGTCACCTCTCTTCTTGCTAAACACCCAGCATCAAGCTCTACAGATCCCTTCGATCTTCTTCAGACCAGCACCAACACGAATGATGCAATTCCTGTACGCCCTTCTCCCCCTCGTCCCCCTCGCTGCCGCAAACGGCCGAATTCGCTTCACCTCCTTCGACCACCCTGGCTGCGCAGGGTTCGAGGAGACCTACGATCTCAATCCTGCACCGGTGAAGGGAAATTTCCCTGGTAAGACCCAACGCTCAAGCAGCGATTACATGTTCTAAACCCTTCCAAGGACCTCGCGGATCTATCAGCATGATAGTCACGTCTGCAGGATGCCATCTCACGCTTTACACCGGCCCCAACCAGTCGTCGCCGAATGGCAGCCCCATTAGATTCGACACTGGTGCTGCGGTTTGCTGGTCGAATGGGGGTGGATTTGAGGATTATCTTAGCTTTGGGTATTACTGCGATTAGACGATGGTGAGACGAAGAGATGAGGACGCGGATGGGTAGGGATCGTAGTTTTGCTGAGCCGCTCTTTTCTCGGTAGATTGGGTCTGGGAAAAGGAGGAATGTAGAGTAGTAGAAACTGAGAACAGGACAATGCATCTCTGTTGAGCTTCGGATGATTTGCTTCAGACTTGAAAGCTCATGCAGGCTCTCCGGACCTATGGCCTGACCAGGCTGAGCCCAACATACAATTGGGCTTCTATCTTATGTGGTAGGCCGATATTGTTGCTGAAATGTCGAGGGGTTAGTAGACACTGTTCTCCGGTTCCCGTTGATATGTAAGGATGCACATGTTACGAAGGGTCCTCGGTGCCTATGTCCTCTACGCGGGTCTGTTCATGTGCTCATGCTTCCCAACATGGTTTCTGTAAACTTCTGATCAATGTTAACGCAAAATGAGTCGCAAGCATATCTGGGTGATGCCCAGGTGTAATTCACTGCTATAGTCTGTGAGAACCCTGGGAGAACGACGTGCTGAGGAGACCGTGCAGCATGATGGCGGTAGAGTTCTGTACGTGAAGGCTATACAAAGAAACTGTTTCGACAGTATGCGGAGCATCCGGGGGCAGATGGAGGCGACAAGACGCCTAGGTGTGGATGAGTCGTCGAGACCATGGACTATATACATCACGCAGCTGCGGTGAAAATTGTGCAGTTCAGAAACGATGAGTGCCAATGTAATCTCGTACTCGCGCGTAAACGTATCGGCACCGGCAAGACGCGAGACTCCGTACCCACTACGGGAGATTATCTTGATCGAAATCGAAGATTATGCGCATCTACCAAAGCGGATTAGTGCCGGTACTGGGCGGAAGCTAAGCCTATGGACGACAGTCGCGTGTTCATGTGAGACCGACCACGACATTTCGCAACCAACAGGACTTCGGCGCGCGAAGACGTTCATCCTCGCCCATGATGCGCGCATTACCACTGGGACGAGATCTTGCTGTTCGACGCATTCTTGACGTCCGCGGGCGCGACAAGTACTTGGGACCGAGCATTGCTGTCAAAACTCTGAAATGTCAATGACGTAACTTGTAGCAAATGATGTGCGAGCACGCGACACTAAGCAAGCAGTCACATCGGAAGGCCGGCTCCTTCTGCACCCAGCAGGGGCCACGCCGCACCAAATGCCAGGGCAGCGCAGCTTCGTCCGAACGTCCGCTGCCCTGTCCGTGGCTGCTGTGGCTGTTTAGTCACTCTACGCATGCCGTGCGTTCCGCTGACTTCACTACGCGCCATGCGCCCTGCCTTTAGTGTAGGATGTAGTCCTCGGCATCGGCCAGCCTTCTTGCCTGTTCCTTGATGCGAAGACTTCTGGGCTTGTCATAACTGACATTTTTGTCCTTGCAACACCCACGAGTTCCTCACCTCTACCTTTCGCAAGCCAAAGCAGAAGGTACGATACAGTGCTGCGTCAGGACCTCCGCGCATAGATTCCCGGATCGACCGGCTAGCCAAACACTACCGCCATCCCTACAAATATACTCAGTTCCTCTGGGTAATCGTACTGGACTTGAAACCCCGGGAAGCATACTTTGCTCAAACATCGCGCGACCACTCATACCACCTATACATCGCCGCCTCGCGCGTAGTCCCCCACCATGGGCGCAGGAGCCTTCATAGAACCACTCGTGGTAGTCACCCTACTCTTCGGAGGTACATGGGTAAACCGAAACACCGAATACCGCCTTATTGGTCGGCGGAGAGTATACCAAAACTCGCCACGGTCAAGTTCCCCAGATTCCGGTCGATCTAGTCCGTCGTCCAGCGTATCGCTTCTCGCCAATGTCGACGAGGAACCCAAATGGAGGAAACGAGAAGTGGTAGTCCTGGGCATGAAGAAGGAGGTCATGAGCCCGAATACCAAGAGGTTCCAGGATTACTTTCTCAGTCGGCTGCTGAAGAAGTTTCCCTTCCTTGTGGAGGCCTGGTATTGGGCGCTTATCTACTGGGTAAGCAAACGCGCGAGTACTACATATCTTCTCTGCAGAGATGCTGACTTTCTTCAGGTGTACCAACTAGGTCGCGCATTCTCTGCAGTAACCATGGTCGAAGGCACCGTTAACGTCGCTCGCCGCCACGCCCTCCAAATCATCCACCTCGAACAGAAACTACACATGTTCCTTGAACTCGATGTTCAAGCGTGGTTCTTGAAACACCCTTTCCTCCTCCACTGGACGAATCGCACATACTCCTTCATCCATATCCCAGGCACGATCCTGTTCCTGGTATGGCTCTTCTACTACACCACAACGCGCAACCGAATCGATCTTCCCCTCCACAACAAGCCAATGGGCGAGGCGGATGGCAGCCCGGCAGGACCAATGCTGTATGCTGCCAGGCGCAGAACGATGGCTACCTGCAATCTGATTGCATTCATCGTTTTCACCCTGTGGCCATGCATGCCGCCGCGTCTGCTCTCCGACCCCGACGTTCCCGGCTCCGTAGGCAAAGAGGCGCGTAGCTTCGGTTTCGTCGACACTGTTCACGGCGCCGAGGGCGAAAGCAGCGTGTGGACGCAAAACAAATTCTGCAACCAATACGCTGCCATGCCCTCCCTGCATTTCGGGTACTCGCTCCTCATCGGTCTGACCATCATGTCGATTCCTCTTGCTCCTCAGCACAACCGATCCCGCACCGTCGCGCTCACAATGGGCCTACGTATGCGCCTTCCTTCGGCCCGCCGTATGCTCTGCATCTTCTTGGGTGTCGCATACCCTGCTATCATCCTCGTCGCCATTGTTGCTACCGCGAACCACTTCATCCTCGATGCCGTGGCGGGTGCCATGGTCTGTGGACTTGCATGGACTGGCAACAGGGTGCTCTTGAACCTGCTACCATTAGAGGACTACTTTCTGTGGTGCGTGCGCATTCACAAGCCTGCGCGCAAGGCTGTTCACTGGGACGGTGACGAGGATGAGAGTGACTACAGCCACAAGAGGTTTGGCGCTAAGGGCGTCATTGTCGACTAAGGGCTGGAGGTGTGAGAGTGTGGAGGTAATGCATCGGTAATGTCAAGCATTGGGTATCGGCGTCTGACCTGGGTCGGGTACTTGGGTTATTGAGGGCGGCATGATCACTTATGACTCTTTTCATTTTTGGGTAAACAGAATAGTTTGATACCCTTGGTTAATAAATATGTTGTTATTCGATACTTGTTTGCTGGAAACTAGTGTCGTGAGGGAAGTGGGGTTTCTCATGCCACTGATTACTCTTGGTCCCGTTCATCACCTTCGTACCACCCTAGAGGCCAGATTCCCATCACATATGACGAAGTGCTCTAGCAAACCTCTGCCACAAACCCTCGTGCAATCTCCAGAACCCAGCTGGCATGCTCTCTGCCCACTTCCAAAGAACGATGAAATCAGGCTGCCCCATCAGGGGGAGTGATGGGAGTGCCCGTGAGCTTACTTCTCCACCCCATGATGAACGAGCAATTCATAATCTTTTTCTACAATCATGGCACAATTAGCAAAACCAAGTTCGAAGACGAGCACATGCAAGAAAAGGAACCATTTACCCTAGTCTTCTCTCCGCCTCCATTACAATCAAGCTTCGGTGCACTCCACAAACCCGTCCTGCACTCGCCACAACTCTTCCACGACTCGCTGTCGTTCCAATCACAGTGGAAATCATCGCCGTTGTCGTATGAGAAATGCAGGATGCTACTTCCGTAATCGAATGGTCCGATCAAGAACGTGAAAGGGTATCCCCCGATGCCGTGGTCAACCTGGACAGTAGTGCCCTTGGCCAGAGTGTAGGCCCACACGTAATCCATATTTTTGTATACACCGCGGGCTTGGATGGTGTTGTCCGGGAGGCAGTTCTCAATGACCTGGAAGTAAAAGGGGAGGAGGATGATGGCTTCTGGGTCGCCGGGGCGCGAGGTTCTGTAAGGGAGGGGACGAAGTTAGCAAATGTCTCACATAAGTTTGTACGTGGATGTGACGTGCTCAGTTACTAAGGGGATTTTGTCGCCAGCGGCTTGGTAGTTGTCTTCAGTAGTTGCAGTTGATTCTGAGGTGGTAGCAGTGGGGTTTGGGTCGGCGTCTGAGTAGAGTATCTCGGAATTGTCAATGCCGAGGGCGACGATGTGGGATGGCGATGTGAGCTGCCGAGGTGCAACGACTGCGGCGGCGATGGCACTGAGGGCGAGCGACAAGACGACGAGGAGCTTCATAATGGGAAGAGAGGCCGATATGCTGCGGTATTATGAAGGCTTTGAAGCACTTGCAGTAGATATACTACAACTTTTGTTGAGGGTTGACTGCGAGCGCGAATGAGCATGGAAATAGAGTGAAAATCACCAGAGTTTATATGCGCGAGCATATGCCAGACGCTCACACGGAAACCGTATGTGGATCGGGATAGAAAGAAGTGCACGGACGTTTGACTAGCAAACGATCGTGGTTGTAGATTAGGTAGTATAGTTGCTGGTACAACGTGGAGCAAGAATGCCATTGTTGCACATCAGATTCAGAGACACGCTGCGGCAGGGACTGAGGTGTCCTTGTTCCACCCATGAACGTGATGGAGCTTAGTCGACAAACGAAAAAAGGACTGGAATCCGGGTCTTATATGGGAGATATTACAAAGAGTATACATAATATTGTTGTGTACATTCAACAGCACTTAGGGTATAGTTTTAAAGAGAGTACGAGCAACCGCCAACGCCAAATGTGCAATGCGCAATGCACAAAATGCAGGTGGTAGACTAGCAACAGGACTGACATGCTGTGATAAGAAATGACGCTATGAAAAGAGACACAAGAAAATACTCATTAACGTCTGCTGCTCCTAGTGTTGTTGCGGCTAGGCCTGTCGTCCCGGCGCGATCGTTGGGGTTGGTTGTCGTATCGTCCGCCCATTTCTTCGTCGTGAACACGCCCTCCACCGTAAGAACGTTGAGGATGGCGAACATCGTCATGGTCATCCTCAAAGGTGTTGCGTCGTTCATCAATCTCATCGTCAAAGTCGACGTAGACGGAAGCAGGGCGCGGTCGTCGCTCTCTGGGGAGCTTGGAATCTCTGTCTGCGAGCTCCTTGGGCTTGTAGAGCTTGTCGAGGTGCTCTTCAAGAAGGCGCACGTTCTTGCCGTTGGCCTTGACAGCTGCATCGGCAAGATCGCCAATGAAGGGAACAAGGCCGATGAGGAAATCAAAGGCGACATTGAACAGCATCATGATAAGGACGCTGGCGGGCAGTCCGCCTTCGACTTTGCACATGTTGCGAACGAGGTTCAGGGCCAAGGCGGAACCTGCGGCGTCACCCACGGCTGGGGCGAGGCCAATGACGGAAGACCAGCCAAATCGGATTCCCATAAAGGTAAAGAGAGCATAGTCGAGCCTGTATGCGGACTTGCGGGCTTTGGCGAGGACAACGCAGTCATTCTCGGGAATGTAGTTGGGGATGTCCTTCTTGACTTTCTTCATCTTGTGGGGCCTCTTTGGGTCTGGCTGCAATGCGTAGTAGGGGTCCTGGGGTACAATGAGTTTGCGCACGTCCAAACGATAAAAAGTTTACTTACGTAGGGTCCAGATACGTCCTTGGACTTGTACTTTTCCATCTCCTTGCCCAACGCCTTCTTCATGGCGTACTTAGCGACCATGCCTGCCATGTTGGGTGGTGTTGCTGAGGTAATTCGTGATGTAGGGGGAGTTGTATGAATACAGATGTGCGAGACCGTACAAGAGGCCTTATAAGTTCTTGTCGTTGGAACGGTGTCGCTTTACAGTGCGCGGTGGTGCGGCTGTCTCAAAGCGCGCGTGTTGTGTGGTTGGCCAACGGCGCTTCTCCTGGGAAAATGTGAAACGGGCGCGTCGCTGCCCTATGTATAGCTGGCGGGCGACTGGCAACGAACAAAGTAAGATGGTGCTGTGAAGAACAAGAAGGAGCGACAGAGCGAAGACGACGGGCCTACTTATCGCATCGAGGTGCGCTGGCGGTGAGTCGCTGTAGCTGCCCAGGTCCAGGTGCCCTGATTCTGTGACGCGATCCCAGACAGGAACGTCATGGCCTGGGTCGGTCGCTCCTTCTTTCGCCTGCGAGCACAGCCACAGCCGCCACACCTGTGTCGATCGCTCTTGCCGACAGCCACAGCCCAACTCTCCGATAGGCCTTTGACAACACATCAACAACACGTCCACCCGCTACCCCCACATTCTTCGACATTCTTTGCGGCTGTGCAGCCCGGCAGCAAACAACCTCTCCCTCATCTAGACCCTCTCGCTACTACCCGCCGCCCGCGACGCGCGATAGCTTGCTGACTGGCGCCCGAGTGCTCCCCACCACTCTCTGCGACGCACGCTCAACGCGGCATGCTCGACACGGGCCAGACCTTCACCCACCATGACAAACACAAACAGAACATTAGTTGACTGGCTGGACGACCTCTGCGTGCGCTTCATCGTCAACCTGCCCAATGAAGAACTCCAGTCGGTGGAGCGAATATGCTTCCAGATCGAGGAAGCCCAGTGGTTCTACGAAGACTTCATCCGTCCGCTCGACCCCAACAACCTGCCCTCGATGCACCTGCGCAAGTTCTCCCAGCTCATGTTCCAGCACTGCCCGCTCTTCTCCGCCTACTCGGAGGAGCTGCACCAGCAGGCCTACGAGCAGTTCCTCGCCTACAAGACCCGCGTCCCGGTGCGCGGCGCCATCATGCTCAACGAGGACATGACACACGCGGTGCTGGTCAAGGGATGGAAAAAGGGCGCGAAATGGAGTTTTCCGCGCGGAAAGATCAACAAGGAAGAGACGGATCTCGACTGCGCCGTGCGCGAAGTCTGGGAGGAGACAGGCTACGATCTGCGCGAGGCTGATTTGGTCGAGCCCGACGAGCACATGAAGAAGATTACCGTCACGATGCGCGAACAGAGTATGATGCTGTACGTCTTCCGCGGTGTACCAATGGACACATACTTCGAGCCGCGGACCAGGAAGGAAATCTCCAAGATCGACTGGTACAAGCTCACGGATCTGCCGACCTTGAGGCGGAAGAACCAGGTGCAGCAACAACAGGGAAACGGAAATGATCTGATCAAGGAGAGCAATTTCTACATGGTCGCGCCGTTCTTGGGGCCTCTGAGGCAATGGATAAAGCAGCAGCACAGGCTTGGGAGGCAGAGGCAACGGAACAGCGCGCACGTTGCTCCGGCACCCGTGCCAGGGACTGATGACGAAGACATTCAGAATACGCTCTACGAGACCACGGTCAATCAGGCAGCGCCTGTCGCCGACGCACAGGTGGCCGACAACTTTGCGGAGATGGTGGCCCGGTTAGGTCGCGGACATCGTCCGAGCGACTCCTTCCCCGAGGTATCAAACGAGCATCAGGCACCACAACAGAGTCAAGACCCGGCCGAGGCACTCAAGCGTCTCCTTAGTGTGGGCATGCAGTCACCGCCGGTGGAGGCCCCCAGCCAACCACCACCCCAAGGAAACCCGCTCTTGGCTCTATTCAAGCAGGGCAACAACCAGCATGCAGGAAACCAGCAACCTCGGACGCCCTTTGAGCAGATGATGCCCCCGCCCATGCAGCCGTCAAGTCCCCACGGCCAGCATGGTCCACGACCACCGCAGATGGGCAACATGGGGCCTCCACCGCCCTTCTTCTCACCACATCAAGGTATGCCTTTCCGAGGGCATCCAGGTCACATGAACGGAATGCAACCACCACCGCCACATATGTCGCCTCATTTCATGCACCAACAACCGCAGCAGCAGCAGCAGTCCATGTTCCCACCTCAGCCTCCAAACATGCAGCAAGCGTTTGATCAGCACAATCTGCGGCCCCAATTCCAGGAGATGGGGGATTCACAGTTCGCAGGCGGAAACGGAAGACCAGCGATACCATCGGCGTCCAACTTGCCCGCACCAAATCTCAATGCGCATGCACTCGGATTGCTGAATTCATTCAAGAATGAGAATCAGCAACCTGCTTTCCCACCGTCGCCACAGACTACAATCGCCGCTCCATTGCACCGAAGCTCGCAAACAACACCCAGGATACAGCACCCGCTACCTCAACACAGACCTCATGGGCTCGTATCGCCACAAGCACAATTCGTCCCTAGTCCGCCGCAGTTTCAGTCACCTCCCATCAGCTCGAGCTTCGAACCTGAACAGCCAAAGCCGAGGAACGCTCACCAAGATTCATTACTGAATTTGTTTCGACCTACCCCGCCACTGGCAAGCCCTGATACCGCACCTGCAGAGCTGTCTGCGCTCCCCACAACACCAGGCTATGTGTCCGCGCAACCTGTCGCAGATCCGTCTAGACAGCCCAATGCCGCTCTTCTTGCCGTTTTCAATGCTCCGCCTAATAAGACCAATATGACGTCTGCTACTGTGAGCGGGCCAGTGAACGCGCCAGACTTCGACACCATGAAGAAGAACAGGCAGCCGACGAACAGCAGTTCACGTGGACCCTCGCCAGCCACGAACATGCCTTTCATGCCTCAGCAGATACTCAAACGTGCGCCGCAAGCTTCGCCTCAACCTGCACCACCGGCCGAGGTCTCTGGATCACCGCGAATTGCTTTCCAGCCCCAGATTCTGAAGAGACCTCAACAACAGTCAAAAGCGCCAGGACCAGCAGGTACGTCCATTCCTCCGTGTCTGCTTATTTCTGGCCGAATGCCGGGGCCTGTAGATGAGACTAACGATTGTTTAGGTACAGGAGAGAAGACCACACCGCATGCACAAGGCTTGCTAGACATGTTCAAGGGGCCCTCACCGAAGCCTCCGCCAACCCTACCAGCAGTATTGCCGTCTCGTTCACCTGTCCCTCAGCCCATCTCGGGCATGGACCGTCGCGAATCCGTCCCCTCGGAGCAGAAGAACGCATTGCTCTCGCTTTTCGGCAACAAACCATCTCCATCTCCGAAACCCCAAATGCAGAGCTCAGTACCGCCGGCCCGATCACCTCTCCCGCCGACTCCAAAGACGTCCATGTCCGGCCTCGTCAGCCCTGTCAGTCCACTACCAGCGAACGGCAGTGTGAGTGCTACCAGCCCAGAAGGAATGGCGAACAGAAGTCGCATCAGCAGCATCGGAGATGGAAAAGCCCCTAGTATCGTAATACCGCCAATTAGTCATCCAGCCGACGCAGGAATTAGTCTGGAGCAGAACGAGGGTGTCAGTCTAGCCGGGCTGGGTGCCAGTCAAGCCAGAGCAGGAAGCGCGAGCGGAGGCAAGAGTCCCGTCGATAAGAGTTTCTTGCTGGGCTTCTTGGAAGATGTGGCTAGACGTGGGCGCTAAATGGTATCCTGTCCTTTTATTGCATTGTTCTGGGCGTTTTTGCATTTTGAGGTGGATTATGAGTTCAGGGTTAACTGACCGGATAGCAATTGGAATTATGCGTCAAGATCAATCGGGTTATGATCTATTGAGATGGCTTGGACATTATTTGCTTAGTAGAAGTATGTACGGTTAGCAAAACACGAGTACGAATCCATAGGACGCTCTCAAAGCTGTCGGAATGATCTCCGAACAGATCTCTCCCTTGTTAACAGTCTCGTGGTTTCCGTCAAATGCATCTGCCACCTGCATCTCACTTCACAACTCTTATCCGGTCAACCCAACTGCCCAACCTTCCCGTCCGCGGCCTTGTCGTCCGCACAGCAGTAACAGCCCGCGGACTCCATTTCCGCATTCCCTCCTAATGATCTCATGAACCCCAGACACACCTGAAACGCGTCCCGCTTTGTCAACCTACCGACTGGACGTCATGCTATTCCATGCTAACGCCCTCCATGTCAGCACAAAGCGTCTCAGCTAGTCAAATACCCTCGGCATATCGGTTACCGGTTATCTGCGTGATCGACGTCCCGTGCCCTGGTCTTCGGCTTGGTGAATGCGAGATCGTGCCAAGTCGGAGGTTATGAGCTTATTTCTCGGGAGGTGGAGGTGAGAGTGAAAATGCACGGGTGTCTTCTTGACGTGACACACTGACATACGAGCCTACTATGCTGTCATCGTGCTATTTGTGACGATGGTGGGGATTTAGTTGGGATGGGCTACGTCACGCATACACGAATACACTGGAGCACAGACACGGGACCGAAACATGGCAATGGGTTCTTCAGGTGAAGAAGAAACCCCGAATTTGTTGGTTATTACTAAGTAGATGGCGAGAGGAAGGTGACTCTACGGGATATTTCGATAGCTCAAGCTAAAATGGCGGACAAAGTTGCAATGTACAAAAGGATAGACAGATAGGTGAATAGCGCAGAGGCTTTGGCCGGGAACAAAGCTGAGTGGAAACAAGAAGTTTGTTATAGTTGTCTCGTTGGTTTCCGGTGGTGAACTGCTTGTTTGTTTGTTTGCCGTCCCGTTTTGTCCCAAACCCCCAAGTCCCCCTGATGCCGCGCTCGGAAATGCAAGAAATCATGCTGATGCTGGAGAAGTAACGACGCTGACGGGGTACTGGTAAGGAAATATGACTTGATTGTACAGGTTAGACATGAAGTGGTTGATGACAATGGCGCAGTGATGCTCATAGGGCGACGTTGTCCCGTCCCCTATCCAAGATCTCAGAAGGAACAGCGCTGCGTGTGCTGAAGCGCACTTCCGTGCCTGGGTGTGCCTTAAAGATTGGGGCCGTCGTCTGGGTGTCGTGTCTCTGGTGCTTGATGTCTCTTCCTACTAGACCGCTCTTGCTGCCATTGCGGCTTAGACCCGCAGCACTCGGTTGCCTGGTTATGCCGCTTGCGTTCTTGGGGACGGAGGACGGTAGAGCTGGCATCTCGGGAACTTCGTCTTCAGAGTATGTAGTGGACTGCGTCATGCGGAACTGCTGTTTGAGGCGTTGTTCCTCGACGCGGTTGGATTGCTGGTTCACCCAGGAGTCGACAGTGCGGAAACGAGGAACGGAGGATCGCGTTGTCATGAAACTATCACGACCAAGGGGCTGGGTAGCGGTGTCGCGAGAGGGGTCGTGCGGAGTTTGAGGGGCTTGGGAATTTGTCCAGCTGAATCTGCTGGCCATGCCACCACCGGCGGCGGCGGCGGCTGCGGATGCACCACCGAAACCGGGTCGTTGAGAGATTGAAGGACGGTTCGACAAGAACTGACGGAACGATGGAGGCGGAGGGAGGTTCCTAGTCTGCTCCTGAGGTTCAGGGTAGCGCAGCGACTCTTCGTCACCATCCAAGGATCTGGTGTTGCGAGTCGAGTTACTTTGCCGTCGCCCCTCGATAGGCAGAAGAGGTGATGAAGGTGTTGCACTGTCATTTCGATGATGCGAGTTTGCATGCGACGGTGTGTCATCGTAGAAGCTCATGTTTCCATCCCGAGTTGGTGGCTGGTTGAAGCTGTCACTTCGCTCAAGGTCTCGCAATCGTTTCTGCGAAGAGAGCGAACTAGATCGGACAGGTGCGACCGTCGGTTGAGGCGCGCGGAACGAGTCGTTCATGCCATATGCGTATCCATCATCAAATTGCTTCTTGTCCTGGCCGTATCTCGATGGTGGTGGAGGTGGGGGTCCGCGACGGAGCTGCTGCTTGCCCTGCTGGATTACGTCTCTGAATGTAAGACCTCGTTTCTTCATTGTGTACATGGCAAGAACGACCATGACAATAATGATAGTCGCACCTAGAAAAAGTTAGTGTACGATTTAAGAAGCACCTATGACTTCAACGTACCGATTGAACCAGCAGCAATGAGCAGATGCTCGGTCGTCTGGGAGATGGGGCGGTCATGATGGGGCTTGGGCGGTGGCATGGTAATCACGATAGTCTCCGTGGGGTCACTCTCAGCCAAGGCAGGTGTCGTAGCCTCTGGCTCCAGACCACTGAGAGTCATTGTGACCAACATCTGCTCTTGTTAGTCAAGTCCATATTTTGGCGCGATGCCGCTTACTGCTGCACTTCCGGACGGTATCGTTAGCGAAGGTGTTGTCATAGGCGTCATGGTCGGGTTCTCGGGGTAATCATCGTCGTCAGAGTCGCTGTCGTAGTCTCCATCTGTAGGGCTTGGCTCCTGACGTCTTACTCGTGATAGTCGGTTCAGCGTGGGTGTAGGCTCGTCTGCCACCAACTCAATCTCATTCGCAACACCGTCTCTTTCCACTACGACATAATCCACCTTGTCGTAAACTCCACGGCGCCATGGAGCGGGCATTGCGTTCGGTATGCGATGGCGTCAAATGGGGAAAGCCCCTCTCAATCTTCCAGCGTCTCGATTTCTCCACCAGACATAATCCGCAAACTCGTCCAGCGATGTAAGGTTGTCGTGATCGAAGGTAGTGTTTGAGTCGAAAGCCTGTTGGACCGCGACCAGCGTAGTCGATAGGAAAGGGTGATGAGCGAATGTATGTAAGTGATTAACAACAAGCCGGCCTGCGGAACGAAGGACAGAAGGGAAAGCAAAGTCAGCAAAGGTGCAACGAAAGGCTGGGCGAACGCTCAAGACGAGACACGTTCATGCGAATAGCGGGAGGGGTGGGATATGAGCGCGCATGAATGACACTAGTAGTGAGTCGCTGCTGGTCCCATGTCAGTTTGGGGAGACGCGAAGATGTGGATGCGCCGCTATGATCATTACGGAGTGTTTAGCAGCAATTGCGATGCCGGCAGTGATCCAAATGGCGAGATTCCATAACCCTGAGTGCGCTTAATTACCCTTAATGGGGTAAGATGTGCCATGATCGAGAACAAAATGCTCGTGCAAGGTTTGGGGGGCTGTCTTAAAGTCGTCTCAGGGCGCCATGGTCAGGTTTCAGCTCCCGTTTCCGGGGACGATCAAACGCCACAGGGGTTGTGTCGTGAGACCGACGACCGACGTACAGATATTGAATGTCTAAAGCCCAATGTGAGATCTAGTAGAGCTTAATCCCTTTGATAATTCCCCGCATATTACAAGAGGCTCTAGGATTCGGCGGAATGCGCACGATGTCGTACAGCCTGCAGATGACGACGCCACACTTAGTCCGCGGACTGCAGAGCCTGCTGCGCCTCGGATGGCGTGGATTGCTCTTGGGCTCCACAATGTGCCTTTTCCGGTAGCGCGATGCGGCGGTGCTGGGGACCAGGCTCTTGCGAAAATCCGGCCGAGGCCAATTTCTTGGGTGGACAAGAGGCACACAGTGTTTCGCAAGAAGGTTTGGTAGGGTTGCGGAAGAGAGTGTTTCCTGAGGCTAGCCAAGGCTGCCTTGCCGCGATCGCTCTCTAGGATGGTCAGTACATCTCGATTGGAAACAATAAAAGGCAAGTCGCATTACGTCAACATGCGCAGCGCTCGAATTGCGCACTGCTAGGAATTGCTCGACGGATGATGCGGCGTTGAGTCGTGGGCGGTTCGCTCGCGCCGAACTGGCCGTGGCTGCCGGACGAGCTTGACCTCTGGGTGGCTGAGGCTGAGTGCAGCCCGAGTTCGCTGAGTGTGCGGTGCTCCGCCCCCAAGGACGCGATGAATTTGTTCAGTCATCGGATCTTGTAGTCAGCAGATCTTGTTGGGTGCTGCGGCAGTAGGCGTGGTGTATAAGACTCTGATGTTCCTGTTGTGACGCTCTTGCCTCATTCACACATCAACCCGTATCCCGTATTCCGTACTCGCCCCCAATCTTACGTCAACCACCCCTCAATCGACCCCTCATCAGCGCAACACCAGCGTCTACTCACCTTTCTTAACCTACAAACACACACAAGCATCATGTCTGGCCCTTACGATCAATACAACCAGGGCTACCAGCAATACCCACCCCAAGGCCAATACCCTCCCCAACAAGGCTACGGACAACCGGGTGGCTACCAGCAACAAGGCTACCCGCCTCAACAAGGCCAGGGCTACTACGACCAGCAACAGCAGGGCTACCAGCAGCAAGGCTATAACCAGCAGTATGGTGCGCCTGCCCACGGCGGCTTCCAGCATGGCCAACAAGTAGCGCCATACGACCAGCAACAGCAAGGGTAAGAGTGGATTCCTTACAATGCAGCTGTCTGTATGCTAACTGAATTGCAGATATGGTCAGCAACAGCAATATCCTCCACAAGGCCAATACCCTGGCCAAGCGCCTTCAGGACAATTCCCGCAGCAAGGCGCATACGCTGCAGACCAGTACCCACAGGGCCACAATGCCTATGGCCAACCGCAGCAAGGACAGCAATACGGCGCCACAGACCCCAACATGCAGGCTGAAGGCGACCGAGGCCTCATGGGTGCTCTAGGTGGCGGTGCAGCTGGCTACTTCGGAGGCAACAAGATGGGCGGTCACGGCATTATTGGAGCCATAGCGGGCTCCATCCTTGGTTCAAAGCTCG